TCTAAAGATCTCCATACCATACCAACACATATACCCTTGCTGCAGAAACATAGCAGTCTGCTGTAGTTTGTTGGAGTTGTTTCTATTTCATATGAATTTCTATCTTGTTGTCTGTGCAGACATGATCTAGTGCTAAACTAGGTTTGTTTTTTTAAAATAAAAAAAATAGTTTAGGGTGATTAGGAAGAAAGTTTGCGAGCTTGGATATTTCCACTGTCCAAAACACCATGGCCCAGTGTAGTATGTCACCTAAATACCACCACAGTCACACTTCCCATTCCTTTGGAGAACAAATACAAGGAAAAGTCTGCTCAGATTGTTCCAGCTTGAAAGAAACAGAAACCTCTAGTGGCACAAAATAAAACTGCTTGTTATGAGCAAAAAGGACCAGACTGATGTGAGTTTGCCTTTGAACCATGTTTTTTTTTTAAAGGCGAATTCATCTGTTTCACACCCACAAGAAATCTCACAGTATTTGACCATGTAGTCACAGCCTTAGAGATACATGGTGGATTGTCTATTTCTGGTCTGGAAACAACACTTAACTTAGTTTAAATGCTCCATCATGAGTATGGAGGAAATGAATATATTTAACTTATTTTATGAAAGAGAGACTTTTATTCTTACGGGAGATTTTGTTGAATATCTATTAAAAACAGGAATGGAGTGCTTATAATAAATTCATGATCATATGTTTGTGTGCTTAGATATGGAGGAATTTCTGTGGGAGGAAAACTTCCAGTCCTACATGTCACAGGAGAGCAAATTGTTGATTTCCTGAAAGATCTTGGTCAAATTATGAATATAACAGGGGTAAGCAAGGATTATTCTATGCCTGTTTCCTCATCTCCACTGATTTTGAGCAGGTCTAAACAATCTTTTGTGTGCATGTGTGCATATGTATATATTTTTCAGTGCCTGTAGCGATCACATTGCTTTGTCTCAGGTAGAAGATTATTGGCATGTACCAATGAGAGCTGTTGGGAGGCAGAGCCAGAGAAACTGGAAGGGAGGGGGCGAGTCAGTTTAGTTCCTTCAGTCAGAGTCAGAATTTGGAGGCAGAGAGAGCGTTTAAGGGGTGGTTAGTCAGAGTATGACCTGTATTAATAAAGATAGGAGAGGTTAAAATAAAATACTGAAGCTTGGTGTAACTTTACGAATGTGCTTAAGAACTATTCCTAAAACAACTTATAATGAATAAACCTGTTTCTGTTTAAAAGTTCAGTACTGAATGGACCTCAGTTTTTCATAGGAAATATAGGTTGATAAAGAGATGAACTGGTGGCAGTGTGTTAAAGGGCATGTTGGGATGCTCACGTGTTTGGTGAAACAAACAGGGGCCACGGAGTAAATGCCACAGTGCCAATAGGACAAAAATATATGTACATATTCCTTTTTGTCGTACTTCCTACTCTCCAGGGAGAAGCAACCATGGCTGCATCTAAAGAAATGTCAAATTTTCTTAAACACATGGAAACAGAAGATAACATCAAGGTATTTCAAATCTTTCAAACAATTATTATATTTTGAAGTACTGTAGATGGTTATAAATGTGGCTGACAAAGGGACAGATGGCATTAGAGCAAAAGAAGAGAAGCAAGTATTTGTATGAAAATGAACAATGGCTCTTGTTATATTGCCTTCAAAGACTGAAAAAACTAGAATGTTTGGGAGATATGAGAATTTTCTGTGGTCTTTTTTGAAAGGTGAGGGAAAAGGCGAATGAGACAGGTTGAAGAAATGAAAGATGTGGGGTGGTTTGAAATCTTGTCATTTGAAATAGGTTCCCCAATTCCCCCCACCCCCAAGCTTAGTCGTGTAATAGAGCAGCGGCAGTCCCTCCAATTGCCCCATGCTGGTTTGAGGAGCTCATGTTCTTCTATTGCAGGTGTGGTTTAACAACAAAGGTTGGCACGCTATGGTCAGTTTTCTTAACACAGCCAACAATGCAATTCTGAGAGCCAATTTGCAGCAAGGAAAAGACCGTGAGGAATATGGAATAACTGCTATCAACCATCCACTGAACCTCACAAAGGACCAGCTCTCTGAGATTACAGTGTAAGCAACCGTCTCCTTCCTTTCTGTTGCCCTGAGCACCATAAGATAGAGAAGAGAGAGGAATGTGGGTATGGAGTTCAGGCTAAGGTTACTTTAGGTCAGGGGTGGGAAATGTGGGGTTTCCAGAGGTTGCTGGACTCCAACTTCAGCCAGCGTAACCACTGGAAAGGCTGGGAGTTCTAAAGTTGCACTCCCTTGTCATCTCTAACACTACAGCCATTGCTAGTTAATGGTAAGAGTTGTGATCTAGCTAGCATATCTGAAGGGCACCAGGTTGAGGCTATACTAGATATCGCCAGAATATGAGGCATGGGATTACTGTTTTTGGTGGCAACCATGGATCTCCTGTTGAGCCTAAGTGTTCATTAGAGGGCCCTCCCAGCGATAACTTGTGTTGCTTTCAACATCTTGAGAGCTCTGACACTTGTTGGGTATGGCATGGCCTGCAACAAATCATGGGGCAGAATAACAAAAACAGTCTGTTTAGCAGCAGTGATTTTTTGGCTGAGCTGTTAAATCAATTTTTCAACCATTATGAGGTGGAAACAAGAACAACCATTATTCCAGCACCTACTGTCTATAGTACATCACTAGAATCTACCATCAACAGACAACCACTACTACTGCAGATGCCAGATGTGAGATGTGCTTTCCAGAATATTAATGTTCGAAAGGCAACTGGACCAGATGGAATCATCGGACGAGTTTTTAGGGGCTGCGCTGCAGAATTAGCTGGAGTTTTTACAGATATTTTCAATCCTTGTTGCAGTGTTCTGAAGACATCTATTATAGTGCCAGTCCCCAAGCAGTCAGCTGTGTTATCTCTCAATGATTATAAACAAGTAGCTTTAACATCTGTTATTATGAAAAGTTTTCAGAGATTGGTGCTGGATTACATTACGGCTAGTCCTCCACCTTCTTTGGACCCATGGCAATTTGCATACAGGAGAAATAGATCTACTAATAATGCTATGTCCATTGTTCTCCATACTGTATTGAGTCACTTAGAACAACGGGGAACTTATGCGAGGCTGTTGTTTGTGGATTATAGCTCTGCTTTTAGCACCATTCTACCCAATAGGTTGTTTTTTAAAATGATCAACCTAGAATGACCTCAGAAGATTTGTGTGTGGGTAAAGGACTTTCTGACAGATAGGCCACAGTCAGTAAGGATGGGATCTCACCCTTCTTCTACCTTGGTCCTAAGTACAGCGGCTCCCCAGGGCTGTGTGCTAAGTCCCTTCCTCTATTCCCTGTACACACATAATTGCACCCCACTGTATAACAGCAACATAATTATTAAATTTGCGGATGATACAACAGTGGTGGGGCTCATAAATAAGAACAATGAGTCTGCTTACAGAAAGGAAGTACAAGGGTTGATACTGTGGTGTAAAGAAAATAATCTTACACTTAACATAAAAAAATAAAGTACTCATAATTGATTTTAGGAGGAAGAGAAATGTATATCATCAGGCGTACATAAATGTTGTTGAAGTGGAGAGGGTTGGTAGTTTTAAATTTCTGGGCACTTACATCTCAGAGGACCTCTCATGGACTATAAATCCCTACATGCTAGTGAAGAAGGCACAGAAGAGGCTGTATTTCCTGAGAATGCTCGGGAAGTTAAATTTATCTCAGCATTTACTTCTGCCCTACTATCCAAGCACCACTGAGAGTGTCCTAACCTATGGCATTGTATGGTTTGGGAGTAGCGCTGTAGTGGACAAAAAAGCTACGGAGAACCATTAAAATTGCCCAGAATATCATCAGGCTCCAGCTATCAACCCTGGATGACATCTTCACATCCCGCTGCCTGAGGAAGTCACACAACATCCTTAGAGACTTTTCCCATCCTGCTCACAACTTCTTTGAACTGTTGCCATCTGGCAGAAGATACAGAACAATTAAGACTCAGACCATACATTTTCTGAATAGTTTTTATCCCAGAGCTATAATTGCACTTAATAATGAACTTAAAGACCACCAGCAGTGAACAGTTGGACAGTGTTACTTAGCCTGCAGCACAGATGTTCATGTTCTTAGTGGGGGGGGTTAGTGGGGAGGAGTGTTTGGGGATTTTTTTATGTGTGTGCATGTGGGTCTGATCTCTGGGTGTCTGTGTGAATTTCATTCTATGTGTATACTATGTATATACTTACAATGACAATAAATTTATTTGATTTGATTTCCATTCTTCCTCATGGGTTGTTCCTCCACTTCTCCCCACTGCAGGCTGACCACTTCAGTAGATGCCGTTGTTTCCATCTGTGTGATTTTTGCCATGTCTTTCGTCCCTGCAAGCTTTGTTTTGTACCTGATCCAGGAACGGGTGACCAAAGCCAAACACCTCCAGTTTGTCAGTGGTGTGAGCCCTTTCATTTACTGGTTCACCAACTTCCTTTGGGACATAGTGAGTAATGCCTGTGAGGGATGCAAGAAAATGTCAGAGTGGGGGACACTGTAGCTCAAATGGCAGTGTGTGTGACTTGTGTGATCAAGGTCTCAGATTCAGTCCTTCATGGCTCTGGGGAAGCATTGTGCCAGAAACAGTGGAGAGCCACAACCAGACATGGTAGACAACATTAAGCTATGCAGATCAGTGGACTGACTTGATATAAAGCAGCTTCCTATGCTCCTCATATAGACTGGTATTCCATATATTCCTGGAGAGCATCCAATGTCCACTTGAATACTGTCATAAAACCTGTCATAACACCTTATTAGAAAGAAGAGTTTATTCCAATAGGCCAGTGATTCTCAGCTTTTGGACTTTCTACTGGTCATCTAGACCCAAGTTTCAGATCCAGAATTATTTTCAGGGCCGAAGATTGAGAGAACGGCTGCAATAGATTCTTCAGTTCTTTTCCGATCCATGAACTCTAATCTTCATCTATATGCCATTTAATTTACCTTCCATTCAAAGAATTGCCATTTTGATGTAATTTACAGTGTTGAATATAAACTCCATTAGACTGAGTCAGCCTGCTGGATTTGATCCAGAATTCAGTCACTGATAGAGATGACCTGTTGAAATAAATGAGACAAATTGGTCACAATTGAGGTAAATGCCAGTTATTTCCATGGGCCTGCTATAAGCATGATTATTTATGTAGCCGGCCCTTAAATATTACCCTACTCCATTGAATGGCAGCTGAGGCCTTTCCCCACTTACACAAAACCCTTAATTCAACCTTCTGCCAGTTCCCCATGTTTTACCCACCAGGGATAGGAAACATGCGCCTCTCCAGATGCAGCTGGATTGCAGTTCTCTTCCACTCTAGCCAGCATATACATGGGTGAGAGACTATATGTAGGTGCTGTAGCCTAACAACATCTGCAAGGCTGCATGGTCCCCACTCTGATTCATATCCATGTGTCTTTCTGCCACCATCTTTTTAAGCAGAATTCTCTAACACTTCAAATGTGCAGAATAGAACATGATAATCAATTATCATTTCTCTTCATAGCTAAGACCCATCATGCTAGGCAGCTTTTAGGTCATTTTGTTAAGGCTAGGCAAGCCATACATGTAATAGTGCATCCTAGAAGAAATGAAAAAAGACTTCAGTTTCCAATAACTTAAAGCTTTTTTTTTCTCAACTGGCTTCTTTCTCTTTTCCTTCCGCCAGCTGAATTACACAGTGAGTGCTGGCTTGGTAGTGGCGATATTCATTGGATTCAAAAAGAAAGCCTACACATCACCAAGCAACCTTCCTGCACTAATTATATTGCTACTTTTGTATGGGTAAGCCCTCTAGATACTTTGTTAATTCCTAGCAAATTACGGAGACAGAGTGACCTTGATATTCAGAACACTGATGTGTGCTTTATTCAGAAAGTATAACGATTTAGAAAGATACCTTGTTAAGGATACTACTTGTGTGTGTTTTAACCAAAAAGAGAGAGAAAAGAAACAAGCTGTGTGGTACTAGTACACCACTGAAAGGCAAAGGAAGATGATAACTTGATCAGACCACTAGAAAAATCTTCATTAAATGATAAGGAATGTAATTGAATACATTGGATAGAAATTTTTGCTGTAGAGGAAGAGTGATCCCAAAGTACCTACAGATTTCTCCTCTAATTATAATATAGATACAATATAGATCGGTGTCAAAATAACTTTTTGAGTACCTACTTGTCAGTTAGTTATAATAAGAGCTGTAAGTTCTTCATTCAACCTATAAAAAGCAAACCGATAAGCAAAGTGTGCTGCTTGTATACCACCCCATAGTGCTTAAAGCATTCTCTGGACTCTTTATAATTTAATTATGCAGGCTACATTTTGCCCTCCCCACCCCAGTAATATCTGAGAAGGCATTTAGACAGAACTCTTGATCTTTCAGGATTTTGAAAGACCCAAGTAATATCTGAGAAGGCATTTAAGGAAGAACTCTTGATCTTTCAGGATTTTGAAAGAGCAAGTAAGATTTGATTTCCTTTCATCAGATCAGAGTTTCTCATAGTGCAGAATTGTTTTGAATGCACTCATTTGTATTGACCTCATGATTAAAAAAGAGGCACAAATCCAGTCTAGTCCTGATTTATTGGTTTTGGTTTAGCTTTCACTCCCATGAGAAAGCCATGTATATTTTTTTTACAGGAAAGAGAGAGATAAGTCTTATTAGTCATAGCATCAAGTAATCAAGTCCTTTGAAGACAAAAAGCACTGTGCAGCCCACAACTGTGTAGGCTTAGATCTGCCCTCTTGTATTTTTTAAATTGATGCCGTTTGAGAGAAGTTGCAAAAGACATTTATAAGAATAATGCACTGCCAGTTTAAAAGAGGTGTGAGTCTAATGCTTTGTTCATCTATGGATATCATGTGACTTCTCAGCATTTGGGGCAAGTATATACAAAAAACCAAAACATAATATTGCCCATGTAGACAAGGTGCCAGGCATTATTTCATTACATGCTTTGTCGTGTATCTCCCTGCACGCAGAGAACAAAATATCAAGGAGATTATGTTTTTATTAGTGCATGACATTCCTTTCATAGACATTTTTTAGCTGAAGGATTCTTCCTGCAGCCCCACAGAAGAGGTTTAGGATTTCATCTGCTGCTTGCATGAATTAGAGCTTTGATCGCTCACTGGTGAACATGTAAATCAGCTCTTCTGAAAACACTGTGTTTGAGGCCCATGTCAGCTTATAGGAGAATTCTGCCCATGTTTGAAGCACAATACAGTAGTTCATTTGTTCATTCATGCGCATCCCTACTTTGTGCCTCAGTCATTAAGTGGTAAGTATGTATGTGTGAACTGGCCCAGATAAAAAGGGGGATAGTACCAAAGGATCCTGCTTTTGATGGCAATTTTTTTGGTTGCTAGTAGAATATATAGATGCTAGAACTAGGTTATGAATTCTGACATAACTCATTACTCAGTGACCATTTATAACAGGATTGAGGAACCATGATCCTCCATAGGTTGTTGGATTACAACTCCCATAATCATTTCCTTAAGCCATCCTGACTGAAATGGATGGGAGTTCCATTTCAAACTTCAGTTGTTCCAAAAGAAGAAGAAGCAAGATGTGCTGCTTATCTACCGTCCCATAGCGCTTAAAGCACTCTCTGGGCAGTTAATTATGCAAGCTACACATTGCCCCCCTCAAGATGGGTACTCATTTTACTGACCTCAGAAGGATAGAGGGCTGAGTCAACCTTGAGCCAGCTACCTGGGATTGAACCCCGGGTCGTGAGCACAGTTTTGGCTGCAGTACAGCAGTTTTAACCACTGCGCCACAAGGTTCACCCTAGATGTGTAATGCACCAGCCACACTTTGGTCAACCCACGAAATCAGTGTAGGGTTTCATACACTGATCTCTCCTCACTGCTACGTTTTGTGTGCAGGTGGGCTATAATCCCTATGATGTACCCAGCATCTTGCTTCTTCAGCATCCCCAGCACTGCCTACGTTGCCTTGTCTTGCATTAACCTCTTCATTGGTATCAATAGTAGTGCCATTACATTTATCCTGGAGCTCTTTGAAAACAACCCGGTGAGTGACTTTTCTTAAACATTATTGCAATGAGACCATTATACTTTTTAATTGTGATCGAGTGAGGAATCTATGTTGACATGTTTGGCAGGAGCAAGTTTGGCAGGAGCAGCTGCTGAAAAGGAAGCTTCCCACCCACCCCCCAAAAAAAGCTTTTGGATTGTGGCCATGAGGTTCCATGGGGCACTGCCCCATTTTGGGCTTAGACTGTGCTCAGCCAGACAACTCCTACCTCCCTTATCAGAGGAGGTGGGTCAGGAACCCACCTGTGTTCCTCTCCTGCTGAACTCCAGCCTCATACTCAGCATGAACTTGTAAGAAGAAGCTGCAGACTGCCACCTGTGCTTAGGGTCTGCCATTGGCTGCTGTGTCTTCTGCCCCACAGGCACCAGCTGCCATTAACCTCAGCATCACAGAGGCATCACAGTGATCAGTGGTTCTCAATCCTGGGTCCCCAGATGTTCTTGGACTCCCAGGAGCCTTCACCACTAGCTGTGCTGCCCAGGATTTCTGGGTGTTGTACTCCAAGAACATCTGGGGACCCAAGGTTGGGAAGCACTGACAGAGATTATATAGAGCAGCCCCTTGTATAGGCTCCCTCATTTTCCCTTGCTCCAGCGGGACCAGAGAGGGAAGCGTCTCTGCCAAGCTCATTCCAACTGCACATCCCCCATAAACACAACATATGCTGCCTCAGATTTCACTTATTAGCAAAGTCTCATAGGAATGAAGAGTCAATCTAATCTCAGATACTTTCTTAACATTAATCAAGTACTGGAATACATCTGGGTAGTGTACTAGTCTTTGTGTTTTTATCTCTTGCAGTCTCTGCTGCAATTCAATAAAACACTGAAAAATATCCTGTTAGTTTTGCCTCATTTCTGCCTGGGCCGGGCACTCATTGACCTAGCTATGAACCAAGCTGTGACTGATGTGTATGCTCGTTTTGGTAAGTAGAAAATAACACGTGAAAATGTTCCTGGGTTTGCTATGCCTAGGAAAGCTTTTGAGTATAAATTTTTTTGAGTATAAAATATTTTGAGTATAAAATATTTGAAACACACATGAGAAAAAGTGTTTTTTACAAAGCACAGCACTCTCTTATAAAAGTTCCTTTCTCTGAAGCCAGTTAACCAAAGACCTGCCTGAAGAGAAGAGCCATCTTTCCCTGTGTTAAAGGCGATGATAGGGGCTAGCCTTACCTCCTGCAGAAAGGAGTTCCACAACTTGGAGGCAGCCACAAAAAAAGACTTTCTTTTGTGTCTTCACCAGGCATGCCTGTGGGGGCCATTGGAGAAAGAGAAGGTCTTACCCCTGAAATCTTAAAACCAGGAAAGATACATATGGAGAGGTTGTTTTCAATCATCCCATTCTAGAGATGGGCACAAACTGCTGTTCTGTCCTGGCTTCCTTTGCCCCACTTCCTCCGGCGGGTGCCCCTTCAGCGCCATTGGTGCAGCTTCCCAGCCCTGCCTCCTCCAGACACTGCCTCTGAGTGGGTGCCCACTGGAGGAGGCGGGGCAAGGGAAGCCAGAGCATCCAATGGAACAGCTGTGCAGCCCAAGTGCAAAACCACACCAGACCACGCACGGTTCATTCCCATCTTTACTTTGCACATTGATTTAGCCTCTCCTCTGGATTTAGTACTGTGCTGTGTTATTTGCTAGTGTTTTGCTTTACCTGACATTTACACATTTTATTCATATACTTCCAAAAATATATATGATTATGTGATGGTTTGAAAACTGAATTAATTGTTACTCTCCCCACCCCCACATAGTATTACTCATTTAGTAATAATTATATACTGGGTGGGGATACCCAGTTTGATGCAGTGGATAGAGTGACAAGGATTAGGACCCAGGACTCCCCCGCCCTCGCTCCTCAGCCATGGAAACTCACTGGGGGTATGGAACTGGTAAAACCACTCCTTAAATAGCTTGTTTATCTTGAAACCCCTGTTAGGACTATTAGGGTTGATAAAAGTCAATTCAACTTTGTGGCTCATGACTACAACATGAGCCACAAAGCTGAATATGTGCTGAATATATTGAATATACTGAATATTCAACATGAGCTGAATAATCCGCAGATTTCCTGCCTAACCTATCTTAGGTGATGTGTATTATACATTCAAGGAGATCTTTGCATCTAAATTCAAACGGCTGCAGTGGCATTTTGTTGAGACAAGCTACAATGTATTCAGATAGTAATCTAGCATGATTTTGGTCGGTTCCCTTCTAAAGGTGAAGAGCACGTCTTGGATCCATTTCACTGGGATTTTGCTGGAAAGAACATGGTTGCCCTCGCCATGCAGGGAGTCATCTATTTTTTTCTGAATCTTCTGGCACAGCATAATTTCTTCTCCGTGAAGCGGTACGTTGAAGACCTCTCAGTATTTTGAGTCCTTACCTTGTCTGAAATTTGTTAGAGCAGACGGGTTGATCGGTCTCACTCAAAAGGCATGTATGTGTACGTGCATTGGGCAAGAGAAGCTGATGCAACCTGCATCCAGATACAAATGGTGCCCCGCATAGCGAGGTTAATCCGTTCTGGATTAACCTTCGCTATGGGGAAACATTGCTGTTTAATGCGTTCCAAATGGGCCCAAAACTCACCGTTCTGCAATGTTTCCCCATGTTCTGGTGGCCATTTTGGGTGGTTCCAGTGGCCATTTTGGGTGTTCCGGTGGCCATTTTGGGTGGTTCTGGCGGCCATTTTGGGTGGTTCCGGTGGCCATTTTTGGTGTTGCGGCCACCGCCGAACAGCTGTTCCCCCTCGCTATGCGAAGAAACATCGGTATGCGATCGCATTAGCGATCGCAAAATCCGCATCAGTATGCGGATTCCTCGTTAAATGGTGCACTCGTTATGCGAGGCACCACTGGTATAGGACAGAATGGCCAACTCTTTCCCCATCTGGTTTCTGCCAGGCTTCACCAAAAGGATCTCATGCCCATAATGGATGAAGATGAGGATGTTGCTGAGGAACGACAACGGATAATGAGTGGAGGTGGTAAAACAGACATTGTGAAATTACAAGAACTAACCAAGGTAATTTTTCAGGAATTATTAGAAATTGCGCATTTTCTTTACCTTTACCATAGAAAGGAAAGTGATTTAAATATGAAATATGCAGTTATTTAGGGGGTTCTGAGAGCTGGCCCAAGATATTTGCTTTCTGAGCCGAAAGATGAGATAGCTTGCACTCTCTGGTTCCACCTGCACAAATTGGCTAGTTTGGCAAATGAATACTAAGCCCAGACTAGACATGATGTTTTTATAGGTAGTTCAGCGTACTAAAGTGCATCTTTGTTAGCCTATGAAATGGGACGGTGGAGGGGAAGCTAGATCAGGACCAATGAGTGGAGAGATGTTTGCTCCTTCTCTGGCCGTAACGATGCTCCCCTCCTTGTGAGAACTTTTTGTCTTGCTGCTACTTAGGGGAACAGATTGCCACCAAACCATACTGAGGACTAAGCTGTTATATCTTGTCTTACTAATATCAAATCATCTTAGAACTGCAGAACTGGAAAGGACTCTACTGATCATCAAGTCCAGCCCCTTTCAGGGAGGCACAGTGGGGGAATCGGACTCCCAACCTCTGGCTCCACAACCAGAGACCTAAACCACTAATCTATCCATATTAATTTGGTGGATTGTTTGTTTTGGCCATTGTTTTATGCCATCTTATTTGTAAAAGCAGTACATGTCAAGCTCCAATAGAATGCATTGATTGTAAATTTATTGGAAGAAATGTGTGGGGTTTTTAAAAAATTCTCATTTTACTTTAGATTTATGCAGGAAGATACATACCTGCAGTGGACAGACTCTGTGTTGGTGTTCGTCCTGGAGAGGTGAGCTATCTGTCACTGTCATGTTATTTCGAAGTGACTATTTTTTTTTATAATTTTCTGAAAGTAATCAAGGGTGTGCTAATTTATAATTTAGTGTTTTGGTCTCCTGGGTGTGAACGGAGCTGGCAAAACGACAACATTCAAAATGCTGACTGGAGATACTCAAGTAACATCTGGAGATGCAGTAGTGGCCGGCCACAGGTAATTGTCGAGAAATGCCAGAAGAGCCTAACACAGTCTAGTCAAGAAGGGATGAACTTCTATATCTTTTTATTAAAAATAAAGCTAGATGATATGCTTAACATGCATTTAAAAGTGACGTCCTCCATGTGGTGATTTTAACTGTACTTGCTCCCAGTGCTTTAAGAGATGCTTTTCCCAGTGGTGTAGCATGAATTACCAGTACCTGGGCCAAGGCAGGGATTGCGGGGCATGGGGCATATGCCAGCTCTGTGATGCAACACATGGTGGGGGGGCATGGACTGGGGTAGGAGAAGCCCCTTGGGTGGTGCAGTGAAGCAACAGTGGAGCTGCTCAAGGTCTGCAATGGTGGGCCCAGCACCCCTGGTGACTCAGACTCAGGCTGCCGGGACAAGGAAGAGGAGCAAGAGGGGCACACATACCTAAGAATGTGCTCCCCCCCCAATGCTACGCCAGTGGCAGCACAGTAAAGGATAATGGTAGCTGTAGGTCAACATCTGGAAGTCAACATTTTCACATCCCTGATTTAAGATTGTTCTCCTCCTTCTTCAGAGGTAATAACTGAATGTGACTGGAGTTTTCATGGGATTTTCCTGCCACATATATATATATATTTCCCGCCATATATAAACATATATATATATTTCTTCTAGCATATTGAATCATATCTCTGATGTTCATCAAGACATGGGCTACTGTCCACAGTTCGATGCTCTTGACGATCTGCTCACAGGAAGAGAGCACTTGCGTCTCTATGGACGTCTGCGTGGAGTCCCAGCAGCAGAGGTGGAGCGGGTAAGGAAGATGCCTTCCGCAGCCCTTGCTATTGTACATGATGCTGTATGCTTCAGATATGGAACATGTTTATTAAAATAGTGGAGACACAGAGAGGCTTCCTGTTTAACTGAAAAGGACTCATGGCACCCTCTAGTGGCCAATTTGTTATTAAACATTGGGATGGAGGCAGCATTAGGTCTTTGGGGACCACGTGCAGGCCACTCCTGCTTTAAGAGGATCCCAGTATGTGTAGGCACTGCACTCTCGCTGAGGGCTGCAGTGAACCTCTACTGTTTTTTTTTTCCTTCCACAGGTAGCAGAGTGGGGAATTCAAAAGCTTGGCCTCATAGAGTATGGAGATCAGTTGGCAGGCACGTACAGCGGTGGCAACAAGCGCAAACTCTCCACAGCCATTGCACTGATAGGTTGTCCTCTGCTAGTCCTCCTGGTAAGTAGTTTTATGGTGAAGAAACCAGAGAACGGATGAAACAGCATTCAGTGCAATGCTGCAAGTTTGTGAAAATAGTCTCCCTCAGAAATCTGCTGGTACTTATCTCCAGTATTTCGCAGACACCCAAAGACAGCCAGTCCAACCCCAACTTCCAGCCATGTTTTTTCCTGCCTTTCTTCCTTTCCACATTGAACACTAATACCCTCTCATGGACATTTTTTCCTGAACTTCTGACAACAGAGGCACTTCTCCCTCCTGCCCCCCAAATTAAATTGGAGACTCATGTGATTTTTATGCTTAAGCAGATTTACTTTTAGAATGTGCTGAAGTAAGAATACTAAACCCCTGAACCTTTTGGCACTTTGTACCACAGTGGAAGTTGTGTTTGGGAGAATGGGGAGGGGGGCATATTTCCATTTCTGCCTCTTGAAATCCTCTGTTCCTCCTGTGACTTCCAAACAGCAGCAAACACAAGCACTCCCATTAGGAGACAGGGTTACTCTGAATGTCTTGCAATTTTTTTGACAGTGCCAGCTGTACTGTGTAACAAATCTTAGAGGGACATTGCAATCGACAGGAGCAGAGAAGGAATCTGAAACCTACACCTCTGACTTGAGTTTGCAGCCCCCATTTTGCAGCTTAGTTTTAAAAAAAGAATCTGGCAGGCACATCTGGCCATGATTTCTGGAACTTCTCTGTTTTTACTGTATCATCCACAGCTCTGTGGTGCCCAACCTAATGAAGATCTGTGTGGGGTTGAAAGCTAGCTTCTGTGTGTGACTTTTTTTAGTGGTCTGATAAATGTATCACACATCTTTGCCTTTGGACAGTGTACAAGGATTACATGGATTTTTTTGTCTTCATCTGTATTGCTGCTGTTGTTGTTCTCTTCTTATAGGATGAACCCACTACAGGAATGGACCCTAAGTCCCGACGCTTCTTATGGAACTCGATTGTTAGTGTGATCAGAGATGGAAGAGCTGTGGTTCTGACCTCACACAGGTAATCCAAATTGGCTCACACAAAATTAGGCCTAGAATCTAAGTCCTTGTTCACAGTTCATAGCTGATTCAAGCATTCAGAAAAAATATATATGATATGGACCTGGCATTGTGGCACTTCAGATTTTGGGTAAAAAGTTATCATTGTTGGGAACAGGTGGAGAGATTTTAACCTGCCTAACCTCTTTTGTGATGTGCTAGTTTCCCAAGGAAAGGAAGATTTTTTTTTCCTTGAGGGAAAGCTAATCTAGCTGGAAGCTGTGTTGGTCTATTGTAGCAAAAGAGAAAACAGACATCTTGTAACACTAACTAACTAGTTTAGGACCAAATAGTTTCTATTTTCCATAAGCTTTTGTTTGTCCAAGGTGAAAAAGTGTGCCTTGACATACAAAAACTTACAAAAAATAGTCTGAAAGACACTACGAGATTTCTGGTTTCTGTTTCTTTCTTTTTGGGAGGTGGTGGAGTTATATTTTTATTCTGTCCTTCTTCCTTCCAAGAAATGTGAGTCAGTCTCTGTCATTCAATCCTGACATTTTGTACAACAGGACACCCCGTATCCGTGGAATCACTATCTGCTGTTTCACTGATCTGAGGTCTGAAAATATTAGAATAAAAGAAAGAAATCCAGGAATTTTTTTCCAAATGTATTACCAGAACTGGACACTAGAGGGAGCCAGGGACTGTGCTATTAATATTTGTTAGTGAAGAATACATAGCATGGTCTCCGGTGCCCTTTAGTGACCAGTTCTGGTAATGCATGTGAAAATAACCATGAAAAAAAAATTTTCATATGCATTACCAGAACTGGTCACTAGAGGGCACCAGAGACCATGCTGTGTATTGCCTTACCCACTGAGGATTGGTTCCAAGCCCTCTGCAGATACTTAAAGCCATGGATAATAGCAAACCAATCCCCAGTGGATAGGGAGCCCTATTGTACTTGCAACAAACCTATAAAGTATATTAGAACAAGAGATAGTGACTAGCTCAAGGTAACCTTTATCATTGAGTTGGATTTGATCTGCAGCCTTCCTAGTCCCAGCTCAATACTCTAACTTTCTAATCTTTAAAAAATCGTGCAATAAAGCAGCAGCTATCATTATTTTGTGCAATTTGCAGTCTTTGTGTTAAAGCACTGTGTTAAGGTATTAATTGCTTGGCTTTGGTTAATTCTCACAGAAATGCTTTTTAATCTCTTCTCATGAACTCAACAAAGTATCATGATCTCTTGCAGGGCGGGGATGTTAATTTTGCAATGGGGGCAGGAGAAGAGAATTTACATCTGTAACCTTGTGATACCTTAAAGACTAGCAAGTTGTTTGTAGTATATGTTTTCATGGACTGCAATGCACACCCTGAAAATATTTATGTCAGAAAATGTTATCAAAGAAGAGACTTTACTTCCCAGACAACTGTAAGGTTCTTGTATACTCAACAAAATATCATGATCTCTTGCAGGGTGGGGATCTTGTATGAGATGTTTAATTGTATTGGCTCCAGATAACTATTTAAATACCAGAGTGATCCTTGTTGTAACAAATGCTGGTTTGTATAGGTTTTGGACACTCTCACACTCCCATACAATTCACAATTCATTGCAAGAGGAAACAGGAAGGGAGTAGCATCATTGCCTGTCTACTTGTTGAGACACTCAACAAAGTACAGTATCATGATCTCTTGCAGGGTGGGGATCTTGTATGAGATGTTTAATTGTATTGGCTCCAGATAACTATTTAAATACCAGAGTGATCCTTGTTGTAACAAATGCTGGTTTGTATAGGTTTTGGACACTCTCACACTCCCATACAATTCACAATTCATTGCAAGAGGAAACAGGAAGGGAGTAGCATCATTGCCTGTCTACTTGTTGAGAGGGTTGAACATATAGCTCACAGTAGCCCTGGCAACTACTATTAGGGGCACCTGCCTCTTACTTTAAAGACACAGAATGTTTTTTTGGTCCAGAAAATGCTCCAAAGGAATATGATACTACTGTACATTGTTGAAAGAAAGAAGGTTTCAGTCATTTTGGGAAATCTGTTTTTAAGCCACTTGTTTTATGAAGCAATGTTGGGCAGTATTTTGATGGGCTTAAATCTCAAGGGTTCAAATGACCATTCTTTCCCAGTTCCTTTTGCAAAACCTGTGCATCGTGACAGGCCAATGCTGGGATATTTGTTATTAGAGATTTATTACTTGCAGCCTGGCCTAATATGAGTAAATCTTAGCCGGGACTACAGAACTGTTTTCTGTCAGTATGGGGAGATTGTTTTTGCATTAAGCTTGAAATTCTACCTTCTTTTTGTCTCTCTCCAAGCATGGAAGAATGCGAGGCACTCTGTACACGCCTCGCCATCATGGTGAAGGGGACCTTCAAATGCTTGGGCACCATCCAGCATCTCAAATACAAGTAAGCTGGACGTTCATCTCTTAAGCATTTTAGTAAGGATGATCTGGCTGGAATCCTGTTGCACAAACATATTCATTCATTCATTCATTCATTCATTCATTCATTCATTCATTCATTCATTCATTCATTCATTCATTTGACTTTTATACCACCCATCTGGCTGCAAGGCCACTCTGAGTGGTTTACCATATATTATGCCACACAATGCTCATGATCCCATGAAGTTTTCAGGGAATGGTAAGTTTTCAATTCTATCCCCTCAACCCCTGGGTCCTGAAGCTCTTTAGGGATCTTTGTCATCCTGAGGAAGACTTTGGGAGCCATGACATTGGTGGTGGATTGGTGATGATGGTGGTGGGGACTCTTCAGTGTCCCAAAACTGCTTTTGTCAGTCCCAGCATTAACGAGTCCCTGCGTCTGGACCCGCAGCTCCCAAGGTCTTCCTCGGGACATAAGGGAGCCCTGGCCGAGGCAACCTTAGAACCAAGGGGCTCGTTGGAGGAATAAGAAACTTCTAATTCCCTGAAAACAAGCACCGCTGATGATGTCATCAGCACAGCCTGGTGTAAAGTTACACAACAGGATTCTGGCCTCAGTGTCTAGGTGCTGCAATCTTAGGGCATAGTCCACTAGGTTTTGCACAAGCAGAAATTAATGTTAATGGGAGCAGGAGGCGATTCCTACCCTCACCAGCCGTAGTACATTTCTTTGGCTTCTCCTTTGTGGTCTTTGTGGATCACACCATTGGATTGCTTGCACCTGTGCAGAGCTTTCAAGAGAAGCATGACTATGAAATTGTTCCATCCGTGGCCATAGGATCTACCTGATGGAGGCCTTTTTAGTTTGTTTTCCCATTGCACCACTCCTTTCGCTTGAACAAACAGGGTCGCTGCTGGAGCTGTTCTCAAGGCCTGCGCCAGGGTTGGTGTTACAGAGCATCGACCGGAGCTTACGCTTTAGCAAGGAGAGAAAGACACTGATGCCATGTCTTTCCCTGACTGTCCAACCACATGGGCAAAGGACAGGGGGAAGAGCGCCACCTCTGCTTACTTGACCCTCCTCTTCTGGCAGAATGCAGTTCTAGCCTAGAATAAAAGGCAAGCCAATAGCAGACCCCACCCCTGGAAGAAAAGAGAGGGTCCCTTTGGGAGCAATCCTTTCCAAGGGCTTCAGGACCCTCAAAATTTGAAGCCCACTGTGGTTGCTCCTTTATAAGTCAACGTAGAGATGGGTTCACTTGTCTGCGAAGGCTATTGCGTGTGCCAGTTCTGCCTCCTCAGGAACGTGTCCCTGAACGTGATCTGGTTGTGTACTACAAGTTCCTTTAACTGGAATGCTTATCACCTTTTTTATAAACTTTTGAGTTCCCCCTCTTGCTGCAGCCCCCAGCCCTGCTCCAGGCTATCCCAGAGGACCCATCAAGTCTCAGGTTTGGCTTTGTGGGGAGCCCAAGAGGGTGAAGTGGAAGCGGTGGAAGCCCCTTGAGCAAATGGAGGTGTGGTTGCTCTCCTTTGGGTCCCAACTCAAGCAATCCATGCCCCACCCACCCGCCCCAAAGTCAGCTATTCAAGGCGGGTAGAAACATGTTGGTCCCTGCATTGTCCACCTTGTCTTCTCCAAAACCAGTGGCGGAGGTATATTCACATTGCTCTCGCCGTGATGAAACTCATTATGAAAATCTGTTTACTTTGCTGTCTCTTCCCATGACTTAAAACACACCAAAAATCTATTTTGTAAATCCAAATACGCAGCTATTTTGCTACTCACATTTCCTATTTTGTTCCTCTATGGCAGGAATCCAAAACAGGGAGAAATTCCAAAACCAGTGGCGGAGGTATATTCACATTGCTCTCGCCGTGATGAAACTCATTATGAAAATCTGTTTACTTTGCTGTCTCTTCCCATGACTTAAAACACACCAAAAATCTATTTTGTAAATCCAAATACGCAGCTATTTTGCTACTCACATTTCCTATTTTGTTCCTCTATGGCAGGAATCCAAAACAGGGAGAAATTTTTATATATATATAGGGTCATGAGGGCACATGTATTTGTTGTCTCAATAAATTATTCATGGTTCTCAGTGTGGTCCAGTCCTTTATTAAAGAGGTCCCATGGCTTTCTGCAGTATCTATTGCATGCCTCTGAAATGCCTCCTTGTGTTCTTCTTGCCTGGGCCTCATGTTTTTCCACTTGTAATTTTTTTTTTAGTCATTTCATGAGGTATTTAATAATGGCAGTTTTAGTAATATTCCTACAGGAGTGGTAATTCCGTCATGTCATAAACCCATGGGTATTTCACAGATATGGAGATGGATACATAGTCACCATGAAAATCAAGCCCCCTAAACCTGGGTTGCCTCCAGACCTAAGCCTGGTGGAGCAGTTCGTCCAGTTGAACTTCCCGGGTAGCGTACAGAGGGAAAAGCACTACAACATGCTGCAGTACCAGGTATCCACTTCCTCACTGGCCAGGATCTTCCGGCTGATTCTCTCCAACAAGGACCAGCTGCATATTGAAGAATACTCTGTCACCCAAACTACCCTTGATCAGGTAAGTTTAAAAAAAGTTTAAAATATACTGGACCTGGAAGCGACCCAACTTGAAACACCACCGTCTGTTACCACCTTTGATAGTGCGCAGTTAAAGATCATGTGCTTTTTTATTTGTAACCAGCGTATTACAGTATTTTGAAATGGCAAAGCTGTTTAAAGAGAAGAACAGAGTGGTCAGCCTCTTTCAGGAAGGCCAATTTTTGCAAACCTCACTGCTGCACCTATTTAGAGAATGTCACTGCCGTGGTGTCACATGACTATGCCATGCCTTTGTAGAACAGAGAGATCCACTAAGTTTGTACAAAATCCTTCACACAATATATAACCCAACTTAAAACAGCAACATCTCTCAGGAAGGCCCAAGGTCTTACAGGGTTTGAGGCAGAAGCAAAGTGCCATCCCCCCAAGACTGTGCACTAATGCACACAAGAACTGTGCGGCTGGTAAAAAAGCTGAGTGAGGTCTTTCCAAGGTGTTACTTTGCCTCCACTGTTGTGTTTTTTACAAGGGGGGCGAGTGTCCTTCGCATGATGAATCATTATCTATTTTTTGTGCTTTCTTCCTACAGGTTTTTGTAAACTTTGCGAAACAACAGATGGAAGATGAAGAAATTCCTCTACACCCTCGTGCAGCAGGAGCTAACAGAGAGGTGAAAGTGACTCCTGCCTACTTTAGGAAATCAACTGCATAGATGAGCTGGTGAAGCAAAATGGCTAACCGCTGAGGACCACACCATGCCACACTACAGCAGGACCCGGGTATCTGTGGCGGATCGATTTCAAGCCTCCCCCATGGATGTTGAAAAATGCAGAATTATACACTATACATTGCATGGTCTTTGGCGCCCTCTAGTGGTCAGTTTGGGTAAATACATCCTGGAAATATATATAAATTGGTATTTCTGGGGAGGGGTATTTAGTATTTCCAGCCAGCGGATAAGTGAATCAGCAGATATTGATCCCATGGATAGGGGATCCTACTGTACTTCAAATACTAAGCTTCTTCCAAGCAGAATAATGTAAACAAAGTGAAATATAAATGTACTTTCAGGCGCTCTGGCACAGATAAGCGATTCTTGTATTACAGAAGGATTTTGACGCTACTCAGTTACCTGTTCGGTGGAACAATCACACTTGAGCAAATATATGTGTGTGAACTTCTCCAAAAGCTTAGTGGACATGTCCATTATTTCTTACTTCTACTGTAAACCAAAAACATAAATTGCAGAGATGTTAATCCTAACTTCACAGCCAGTGAAGTAAAACTCTGCTCTTTATGTTGTGGGTCCAAATTAGGACTTCATTGTACTTAAGCACAAGTCTTATTCTTTCACATTTCATCCCAACAGATTTACAGTATTGGTTATAGCTGAGAAGGGCTCCCATGGAAAGCTGTGAAATAGCAAAGTTTTATGTATTCGCAGGAAACATTTCCTCTCCTGTGGCCTTCATTACACTTACAGCTCCCTTTTGCCAGATTACAGTTTTAGCTGAGAAGAATTTTTGTCAGCAGATAATGAACATTCCAAAGCTTGGATAGTACTTCAGTCTTCCTTCCGCCTCATTCACCACACTAACAGTGGAGCTCATGGTTGTGCCATTTCTCATTTTACAAAAATCTTATGGAGCCTGGATTTAGTTTAGAGTTAGCTCATAATTGTATGCTATTCCATAAACATCAACAGGAACCCACATGGAAGAGATCCCCAGGGTGCTCTCAATTCTGACACCATATTTGTAGAATTCTGTAGAAAGGCCAGAATTCTAAGGCTCACGTTGAGTCCAAAATTCTGTCTCAGTAACTTCTATTACTCTTTGCATTCATCTGTGTTTCAGTGCTACAAGCTGCCCTTAGGGCTGTGTTCTAGGTAAATGTTTTTCAAGTAAGTAGCATTATTTGTATTCCAACAACAACCCAGCCCCCCAGTTCTTATGTCAGAGAGTAGCAGGTTAACCTCCAGTTAATTTCATGGCATGGTTGTTGCCAGGACCATAACCACATGAATGGAGAACTGCATAGGAAGCTTCTCCTATATCAAAGATGGGCAACCTGCCTCCGGAGATTTGTGCAGCTCCCTCGCTGGGTATTTTTAAAAACCAAATGAAAACATGGATGTTTCGGCAGGCCTTCCCTCCCAGTTAATCCTTTACTTTCTTCCTTTTCTCTTTCTATTATGATTTATGATGTCTTCTCTCCATCTTGTAGAATTTTTCTTATTGTGTAAAATTCGTTTTATATATACATATTTGTTCACGTATTTGTGCTGTAAGCCGCCTAGAGTGGTCGCAATGACCAGATAGGCAGGGTATAAATGGAATGAATGAATGAATGAATGAATGAATGAATGAATAAATAAATAAATTAACTAACTAACTAACCAACTAACTAACTTCTGGACTGCCAGATATTGCAATTCCCATGTGCCTTAGCCTGGGCAGTTAAGGATGGGAGATCCCAAGAATGGCAATCCACCAGCATCTGGCGGGCAACAAGTTTTTCATTCTGCTCACCCCTGTATAACTCTTAAAACTTTCCTGCTCCCCAGTGAGGTCACTGAAAAATCATGAACACAATGACTGGCATTGTGATTCCTACTCCCTGCAAGGTCAAATCACAAATCTAATACAATATACCATTCCATACCATGCAGAATGTAGAAGAATGGCAACTAAGATGGTCAGGGATACAGCGAGACAGTCTTGTGAGGAAAAGATGAATGAACTGGGAATGTTCATGTTCCTCCATCAGGCAAGATGTCAGTTGAACATAAGGAGATACCTCTTAATGAAAAGAGAAGCTCAGTCATGGCACCAACTATCCAAAGATCTGATGGGCTCTCCTGCACAGGAAGTCTTCAGCCACAGGGTAGGCAGCCTTCTCTTGGGAAAATACTAGTTCTAATTTTCCTGCGCTTCTGGTGTGGGTTAGAATGGCCTGTAAGAACCCTGCCATCTCTATGATTCTGAATAGTAAATCACTTTCAGCATTTTGAATTCAAAGACTATTCAGAAATGTATATAAAAACTTGAATCTGGCCCTAAAAGCCATTACCTTTGATTTATTATTTTCCATTAACCTCCAGAAATACCTGCCAAACCAGTGTTTTTCAGCTATCCTTTGATGTGAAATATATACCTTGTGTTTTTACTTATACTAGGTTGGTGGAGGAAGACTTTTACCCTACAGTGAAGGAATGCGCAACTATGTACAGTCCCTCTAGATAGTGTTATATTACATCTTCTAATATAAAGATATTTGAGATATTTTGTACTGCTGCCTAGAGATGATGCGATTTGTAGTCCAACACAGTTGCCCATCCCTGTGATAATCTGTTTCATATAACTTGATCAAGACTCTTTTGCTGGGTATTAAACAGAAAATACATATTCAGCAGCTGGTTGCAATGTTTTCTGCAATTATCTGGACGGAATTCAAAATATAAGCTTGAGTTTATTACGTATTTCTCTTTACAAATAGTTGGAAAAATCTGTCAGTTATTTCTACAGAAATAAATCTTGTTGAGAAACAGTTTCAGCGACTTTGTTGATAAAGTCTTACACAAGTTCTTTCAAGTCCCAAGACAGCATTGCATCCAATTCTTGATACAATTTATACAGAGCTTTCTTAAAAGCACACCAAATACTTTTGGAGAAAAGTGTAACACAGCAAGGCTTATTATTTCTTTGTATTCTGACATATACAGACAGAGATTGTCTTGTGAGGACTGTGGTCACTATTGAATCCTGCAAGTTCAAAATAATGGGAGAGATAATGGCCTTTGAAACCATAGGAAGCCTCACTGGCATGTCATCTCAGCATGCATCTGGAACATTTCACTCCGTTACCTTCATCCTGTTTGCTCCTCCCATACGGGCCTACTGACTTTGCTTCTTACAACTGAAAAAAGAACCTTCTTTTTACAATAAGAAAGGAATGATGGACATTCTAAGGCTAGGATAATCCTTAAATTCTCGTATATAGGTGCAATGTTTATCCTTTGCCCAGACTGTCATCTGAATGAAACAAAGGACGGTGAACAATCCCACTGCAAGAGACAGAGAGGCATAAGATCAATGTTTATGAAGTACTTGACTCAGAATGATATCCCAGAATGTAAAAAAAGAGAGAAGAAGAAGAATATTCACCTGGAACACACTGAGTCATGATAGTAAAACCAATCCATGTCCCCAGCTGCAATGGCCAAGAAAATTCAGAACTATTTCACACGATTAAAATTGCTAAAAGAACCTATGAATACATACAACATAACTATTTCTAATATCAATTTACAAAAACAAAAGCAATAAACAACTGAAATGCAATAATAGATGCATCAGAAAAGCAATCAGTGACTTTTGGAAATGAACATATATTTGACACAGTCTTGCAGAGATGTAGCTGCATGTTGGATAGATTGAATGGCAGTGCCCACTTCTCTTGATTTGTCAGAAAACAGCACAGTTATGGTTCTAAAAGTATAACACTACAGTTTGGTTCTCTCCCACATACAAGCTTTTAAAAAACAGAAGGCAAGCAGTGCCTGAATGGCTAATTTCTCCCCAGCTTGCACTCTAAACCAATAAAAATGCACACAATCTGTTTTCAGATACCAACCTCACAGCTACATCTGTTATCCTGACCTTCCATAATCTTTTTCTGCTTTTCACTTCTCAGAAATAGACCTCAGACATTTGCTGATGCTGTATTTCCATGAAGTTCCAAAAACAGTTGGAAAATTTGAAAAAATACATGTACTGTATGAAGATTTCTTTTTATTCTCCATCTTGCCCACCCTGGACAAATACACTGCTCAAAACAGCTTTTCCTTTAAACAAAAAACCAACCAACCCAAGACCCTATATCTCTACGGCAATGTTGGGTGGTGCTCCTAAATGAAATTCTCAATGGTGGGGGAGCTACAACCAAATCCTAAAGGCACACATGCTGCCCCCTTCTGGACTGCAACAGTATTCTGTTTTCAGTTTCCATTGCAAGTTAAGTTTACAGTATATTCATACAGAAATATGCTTAAATGATAACCAGAAGATGTTATTATTATGCAACTGATCTGTATTAATGGAATTAAGTGTATGTGTGTGTGAGTGTGAATCAGACATCACTGCATTCCATTTAGATTGGTAAAGTTGCATCACTACCTTGGTGCATACGCTCGTAATCTCAAGATTAGATCACTGTAACACGCTCTACGTGGGGCTGCCTTTGAGGCTGACACAGAAACATCAGGTGGTGCGGAATGCGGCAGCCAGGCTCCTTACAGGAGTGAGGAAATACCAACATATCTCTCCAACGCTGGCCGCACTGCATTGACTGCCCATCTGTTTCCGTGTCAACTTCAAAGTTTTAATGCTTACTTAGAAGGCCCTAAACAGTTTAGGACCTCGATATTTGGCGGAACGCCTCCTCCCACCAAGGTCTACCCGGATCACCCGCACAAGTCAGGAGGTGAGGCTGAGGAGCCTGATGCCGAGAGAGGCCCAGAAGGAGAAAACATGAAACCGGGACTTCTCGGCGGTGGCTCCTCGCCTCTGGAACAACCTACCTCCTGAGATTCGTGTGGCTCCCTCGCTGGGTGTCTTTAAAAATCAACTAAAAATATGGATGTTTCCGCAGGCCTTCCCTCCAGTCAATCCCTGATGCCATTCTTTCTCCCTTTGCTCCCAATTTTTGAAATATCTATCTTTATGTAAAATTGTTTTATATATATTTATTGTCCTATTTTTATGCTGTTAGCCGCCTAGAGTGGTCTTAACCGACCAGATAGGCGGGATATAAAATAAAGTGTATGTGTGTGAGTGTGAATCAGACATCACTGCATTCCATTTAGGTTGGTAAAGTTGCATAAAGTTGGGACCACTGCATAATCCTCCAAACTTCCTAGAATATCCCTAGTTATGCAGTACTATTACTGCTATAAATCTTTAGGTATGCATGCTCTTTATTTTGCTTTTTCTTCATCTCATTCTGTACATAGCTCAATAATTGCCTTTAAGGAAAACTGTATGCATTTGAGCCAACATCTCAGTTTGCAGCATGAGTGGCCGGAAGATATACTGGTAGACCTACTCTGGCTATATTTTTATCTCCGTTTTCCTCCCTTTAGTTTTCTTCCCTCTCAAAAGGTGCCTTCACAAAATATTTACATGCACATCCCCACATCAGTTTTCTTTCCTCTCAAAAGGTGCCTTCACAAAATATTTACATGCACATCCCCACATCAACATATACCAGCAAGATACTTACAAAGTTCATTGTTTTACTACAGAACGACGTCTTGGACTGCAATTCAGGCTTACAAGCATTATCCTAATACCTTTCAGTTTGTAGCAATTGCCATTATTAGGTTTAAACAAAACCTAAATCTTACAATATTGTCTGATAATTTTTAAAAAATACATACCTCATAGGTGTAGTTCGGACAGGATACCAAGTAAAATAGCCATGTGAAAGGATTCTTCGTTGGATAAGGAATCTTACTGGTTTTGGATCCTATCAATTAAAATATCCACATAAATTAAAAACAAACTGTACTTTTTGCTTTGGTGTACGTTTTTCCAGCTAAACTTTCCTTATAATGTATGTTATGACATTTACTGTCAAGCTGCATGTGACTTATAGCAACTGGATTGGACTGTCATGGTACACAAGATATTTAAGGAAAGGCTTTACTAGTGCCATCTTCCAATGAATTTCCATGGCTGAATGGGAATTTGAACCCTGGTCTTCTACATTCATCATTCTGTCCATTACACTACATTAGCATGTGGGTTGTGAATAATTTGGAGTGAATTGTTTGGCTGGCAGCGCCACAAATTGTAGCTGTTCTTTCAAATTACCATCCTTCTCTTGGATGGCATAGATCACTGCAGGATTGACAGAAGAATATAATATTTTATCAGGATTAAGACTAGACCTATTATTCCACATCTGTCTAGCTGGTCTAGACCTGTTGTATAGTACATCAAAAAGTACATCTAGTTTTGAAACCAAGGAGACACTGTATCCTTGAAGAGTTTTACAGTTCTCTCTCAGTCACCATCATCATCCTACCAGAGATAGACAGGAAAAAATCTCCATTTCTAGGGGTGATCATGCCCACGGCTGTCTATAACAATGGTGATAATGCCTTGACTTGTGGCCAAGGAAGGAAGAATCAGACTTCCAAGGAATTCTGCCTTGAGGATTTTGAAGAGCAACCACAAAGCAAAGTAAGTTAATTTACTAATTATATGATACGTGAAAAGCTCTAGTTGTGCACTCTGATGCTTTCAGTGTTTAAGGCATTTCCTCTAATGATGGGCTGACCATAATGTCTGCTTCTGTCCCCAGATTAACTCAAGAGATGACATGGCTGCAACTAGTCATGGATTTTGTTATCCAAGTCCAAAATAACCTTAATAAAAGTAGAAACAAAGCACTCAGCTTTTACCATCTCTTCTCAGATTACTAAGTGCAACATGGATGGAAAAATTCCCAGCTTCACATGTCTGCAGAGAGATAAATAAAAGACAACAAAAACAGAATGTTTACTTTAAATAATGGTGTCTCAAACATAATTGCGCCAATCCAACCCAAGAAGTCCTCATACCAGTCTCCCTAAAATGATTATCTTTATTTGGACCTCCCAGGTGAAATGTGCAGCGGATGCTGTTGCCGCGTGCATTTCCATCACACAGCAATGTTTCTGAACTGATTGCTTCTTTTGTTGCACACCCGGAATCTAAAGCCATGTCTGTAATGGGTAGACAGCTGCCACTCTTTCGAGCTTGACCAGGGTCTTTGCCTCTCCTTCTGATGGGCTACTTCTCACATAGGAAACACAAAGCTTTTGATCTGTGCAATTTGGTCTGGATCAGGCTCATCTACACAAAGACCACAATCCAGCTGAAGGCCATCAGCACTAACAAGCTCTGTTAGATGTGAAGCCCATCCAGAAATTCAACAGTAATGCTAACTAGCTTTTCAACCAAAGAAAGCCAGTGGAAGACAAGGGGCTGCTACTGCAAAATATCTGAACCATCTTTGTGCACAAACCCCAGCTAGTGGACTGATCTAGTGAATGCTGCAAACAAACTCTGTTTACACACGTGCTTTCTAATTAACTGCATACATGGAAGTCTGCTTCTGCACAAAGGTGCTTCTCAATCTGAGAGAAAAGAAGCTCTAGCTGCTTTGGCTGCTACTAGGAATCAAGGTCAAGTCAAAAGATGATGGACTTCTTAAATGACACTTGGAAGATGCCTCTCCCTATGAATGACATATGTTTAGACCACTGGTTCTTAACCTTTGTTACTCAGATGTTTTTGGACTGCAACTCCCAGAAGCCTTCAGCATCAGCTCTGCTGGCTGGGGTTTCTGGGAGTTGCAGTTCAAAAACACCTGAGTAACAAAGGTTAAGAACCACTGGGTTAGACCATTAAAGTATGTTAAATATTCTCCTATCTGGAGACACTAGAGGTGGGTACTCTGTGTTTGTATTTTAAAATACACTGAATTTATTAAAAGAAGAGTTGGTTTACTATGCTTTTCTTAAATATTCAAGGTAACCTACAAATAAATAACATGGCAAGAGTTCACAAAAGTATACATGGGCTATAGACAAGGTGTGTATATGGGGGGGAGCATTACCCATTTTATAGCTTATTATCATCCTAAAATGCCTGTCTAAAAAGTATAGCCCTAAACAATTTTTCCTAATATGTCAGCAGGAATGGAAGTCATGCATGAGTGAATAATTGTGCAATGTACCTGGCACACCTGCCACTCTAGCACACCAATACACATGCTAAATTCTAACATACATGGCCACATCCCAAGGGCCTCAATGAGGAATCTTTGTGTGTGAGAGAGACAGAGACAGAGACAGAGACAGACCATCTGACTGTCCAGCTTCACTCACTGTTGTGAAGTCCAAAGGATTCCTCAAGGTATTAAAGGCCGGATCTTTCTCCAAAGTTCAGAAGGTTTGATCTATTCTGTAGCTGTCAGGCCACTGTTCCATGGCTTATAGAGCTGCACCCTAAAAATATTTGCCGACTTTATCTAATATCTAAAAGTATAGGAAAGGGTAGTTCTTACCTTACTACACTGCATATTCGAAGAACACTTACCAAAACCATGATCAGAGCAAAATTTATCTGTTTTTGTCCATAGGCTACAAAACAAAATATTTAGGAAGTTCACATTAAGCAATTCAATTAGCATTGCCAATAAAGTGTTCATATAATTTTGAGTAAATTTGCTACTTACAGGGTGGTGTGTAAAGTGGGTGGTTGATATAATAAGCAAGCCAGGCAGCAAATCCCCAGTAATAGAAACAATTCTGTAAAACAAGTCATTTATATGCCTGTTAATGTTATACAGAGATCCTGGCAGTATCTTTGCGCACATGGATACTCACACACACACTGCTAGGTTTTGTTTCTTTGCTTTACCTTAATAAGAGCAAGAAACAAAACCATAGCAAGGGCTGAATGATGGAAGAAAGGGCAGTTTTCTCTAGTTCCCACTAAGTTCCATGGAATTAAGAGTACAACTAAACAGTAAGGGAAATACGAATACAGTTGCATTCACTCACTGAAGTTACACGGGGAGTGGGGAGAGTTGCATAATCTTCAGTTTAAGTGGTGACACATAGCATGACAGGAAAAACGTTATTACTGCAGTTCCACTGAAGTGCCCGTACCTGGCACAGTTCAAAGGAACTATCTTAAGAAGGCTTTTCCTTCTTCAATTACCCCAAACATGTAGTATTCCCCACATTTTTTCCTAATATGGTCACCTCCAACATTAAGAAGCAATATTACCAAGACAATTGTAAGGAGAGGGACAAAGATCTGTTTCTCCAAAAATCTGTAAGGACAAGCTGATTTATTAGGAGCTCCCACAGAAGCCCCAAGTATACATTTTTCTTATATAGGGATGAATGGATGCCAAATGCTGAGCAAAATGCTGTATAAGCCTGTGCTGCAGGGTCAGAAGACCAAGCAGTCGTCAGATCGAATCCACACGACGGAGTGAGCACCCATCGCTTGTCCCAGCTCCCGCCAACCTAGCGGTTCGAAAGCATGCAAATGCGAGTAGATTAATAGGGACCACCTCGGTGGGAAGGTAACAGCATTCCGTGTCTAAGTCGCACTGGCCATGTGACCACGGAAGATTGTCTTCAGACAAAACGCTGCCTCTATGGCTTGGAAACGGGGATGAGCACCGCCCCCTAGAGTCAAACACGTCTGGACAAAAATTGTCAAGGGGAACCTTTACCTTTAAGGGGTGAGCAATATAATGGAGTAATATTTATTTTGGTTTTGCCTCGAGTATAATATCCAGGAAAAAAGTACATCTGAACAAACAGACGCATTATATTCCACATACCCTTACGGAAATAGCCTTCCCTTCAGCTATTTTAAGTTTTACTGAACAGAAGAAAGTACTTGATAACATTTGGTACTGCTGGCATTGCTAAAAACCGTGCTTTTAGGTATCAGGATAGATCACAAGGAAAGACATGTTTGAAAATGGTGAACAAACAGCACTTAAAATGAGAACATTACCCTCACACCCAGACTCATCCAGTTCTAAGCCATGATTTCTTCTTGTCCATTTATTTATAGTACAGTGGAAAGTTTGCAACATTTGAATGCCTCCCATTTCGGAGAGAGGCTCGCCACCAGTGTAACGAAGCATTTAATGAGAGGATGAGTCCTGTTAACTACAGAAGAGAAAACGCTAACATTTTCTCACCCATCAACGGGAGTTATGGCACTTCCCTTACCTGTGAGTGAGCCATAGTTTTTTAAAACTTTCAACCAATTTAACACATTCCTTTGAATATTAACTTACTCTAGCCTCACAGAGGCCTTCTGTGTTAATGATTAACTACGATTAGCAGGATCAAAAGGTTAATTCATATACTATGCTTTCAGTTCCAGTAATAACACAATCTAATCCAACCTATGACACAGAGCTTTAGCCATCACACCTTTGGGGCCAGTTCTTCTCCTTCTGAAGTGCGCCAGACCAGTAATAATTTTTTATGTGAAACAGTGCTATTCATTTACTTATTCATAGACCTTTATCTCTTTAATAAAATTATACCACTAATTTTTTGAACAGCAAATACTAATTACACCAACAACAGGCAAAAAAACCTACACACAACAGATCAAATTCTGAGGTAAAATGAGTTTGCCTGTTCTTTCAAAAAAGGCGGAATTTAGCAATGGAGGTGCCACCCAAATCTCCTTGGGAAGACCTCTGGCGTACGCAGGGCACCACAAGTGAAAGGAATATTTCGCCAGTTGTCAGCCACCACATCCTTTCTGTGGGGAAACCTGAAGAAAAGTTTACAAAAATCCTAACAGCATACAAGCTGGCTAATGAGAAAAAAAGGTTGTTAACCCGAATACTCTTCTCCAAGCTGTGAAAGGCTTTAAAGGTCACTATCTGGATTCTGAAGTGGACCACTAGCAAACATAACCATTTATGGCAGGGTTGGACCATCTCCAGAGATCTGGGGAACACTGAGGCCCATCCCCACACATTAGAAGGCTGCACCCACCCCCAAAAGTGTTTTTCACATTTGAAAAAGCCCCTTTGTGCTTTCTGGACGTCAAAGGAATATTTAAAACTGTTAGAATTTCTGTGTGGATGTACAGGGGCAGGAGTGATATGGCCCCTCAAAACATGGTAAAATTGCATCCATGCCTCCTAGAGATACACAGGAAATTTTGGAAACTACGGTATGTACTTGGCAGAAAAACCCTTCTCACACAGAAATGCACTTTTCCCCCAGAGCATGGAATGCTGTCTTTAAAATGTGGTGATACTTTTTACGTTTTGAGTACCACACTGCATTACTTTAAAAAAACAGTGCAAGTATCACATTACTTTCTGGTTGCTTTTATTTTTCTACAAAAATGTACTTAGAAAAAGGTGAAAAATAGCTGAAAATCACCCCAAATGACTCTTCGAAAGTAATCTTTAAAATTTATGAGTAACCATTTCTAATGAGATTTCACTAGCTGTTATGTAACTTCATGAAAGTGATGCCATGCCACCATTTTTACACCTGGAAAGAAATGTGTTAAAGTCAAGATCATTAGCGGCCACAGATTATTTCCAAGTTCAGTTTCTTACTCAAATCCTGAGTCAATTATCAGAGCCATCAAAGACAAGCCCTCACTAGTAATGCTTGTTCTTCCCAGTCCAGAGACAGAAAACATTTTGTAAGGATGCATCTCTGTACTGGAGTAGATCCAAAACTAAATGCTGTAATTAATTCAATTCTTTTTTTAAAAAAACCTCTGGTTTGTGAATGTGGGATATCGTGCTTTTGTACCTACAATTCAAAAAGCCAGGAAATGGCTCGAGATTACTGCACAGTATTGCCTTTTCCCTCCCTGCATTTCCAGGAGGGAAAAGGATGCCATGTTTTACATAGCAAAAGGCAGTCTGAATGTTCACAACACCAATGGTGGCAGTCAAGGTGGTCTCCTATAGGACACCCTCTTGTGCACACTACCATTCACAAAGTGACACCACGCAAGGAAAATCCCAGAAGCTGACTGCTTTTTTCATCAGTTAACCACCTCTCACCCAAACACAAAACAACAATCAGGGCTGTTTTTCAGCATGTGTGAATAAGGGACATAAGGGGGCATACTGTTGACCATCTTGACTGCTGCCATTGGTGTTGTCAACATTCAGGTTGCCCTTTGTTATGTACCGCTTGGTGGTGATGATTCAAAGACCTAAATAAGCAGAAGGTTGAGAACATAACTAGAAAGGAGAGAATAGTTCCTTGGCAAAGTTTGAAAACAAAAACCCTGTGAGATTATCTTCTTCTTACAATATTTTGGCAGACTTAAATGCTTATGTTATAACATCATGCTGTACTTTTTCCTCATACTATCCAGTTTCCAAATGCCAGCAGCAAGGTATCTACATAAGGTTGCCTCTATCTAAACACTGCCAGGAGAAAGAGCGAACACAACGCACAGTTGCCATTCTCAGCATAAATTACATAAATTGTCATATCCAGTCCCAGCCCATATGTTAGAAAAAAACCCACTGTCTCCTCTGTCCCAGGATGAGCCCCACCAATAAGCCAATTTGGAGAGTCCCAAATGAGCAACAAATCATTAGTTTTTTCATCATTGTTGTGTTTTTACTGCTATGAATGTAGCGAAGTACTTACTAGATTTTTTTCTCCCTCAATAACTGGACTTGAATTTGGGGACAAGCAGTTGGAGGACCCATTTGGAGCTCTGCTTCAGACAGAAGAACATCTTAGGACATCCCTGTCTAGCCTGGTGGAAAGAAAAGCTCCAAAGGGACCAACATGCCTCCAGGAAGATCCCTACACTCAGAGAATAGGGAGTCAGAGTGTATACAGAAAACACACCTTGCAGCCGAAACAGAAAGAAACTGAAGAATTTAGAAAGGTACAGTGGCATATAAACCTTAACAGGCAAGGTATGACAGGTTTGTCATTATGAGGAAGGGCACCCTATTGTAAGAACAGCACCCAAATTCAGGCTACTGGAATACTATTTATTTGTTTGTTTGTTTGTTTTATTAAATTTATACCCCGCCCATCTAGACCGAGGTCTATGGGGAGCGGCCGGATTGGATTTTAAATATGGGCTGCAAGTAAACACACCTTGCAGCCGAAACAGAAAGAAACTGAAGAATTTAGAAAGGTACAGTGGCATATAAACCTTAACAGGCAAGGTATGACAGGTTTCTCATTATGAGGAAGGGCACCCTATCCTAAGAGCAGCACCCAAATTCAGGCTACTGGAGTACTATTCATTTATTTGTTTGTTTTATTAAATTTATACCCCACCCATCTAGACCGAGGTCTACTATGGGGAGTGGCCGGATTGGATTTTAAATATGGGCTGCAAGTAGATTTTGTGACAATTTACCTTAACAATATTCCTCAGTGGCATAGTCCCATGGGAGAACCGATGAACAAATAATGTTTCAATCAACCTTTTGATGTAGTGGAAAGAATGGCAGATACATGCCAAGCTAGAAACAGTAAGATAAAAGCATTTCAGAAGGCTAAAGAGACAAACAGGATAAGACATTTGGAATAAAGCTGTGATTCCCAAGAATTAACTCCTCCAGCCTTGGTGCAACTTACTTAACTACTGGATGTCGGCTTGAGGTAAACCTGTCATCCAGGCCATAGATAAAAGGCATGCGGAAATAAAACACAAAATAGATGAACAATGGGCCTGTATATTCTATCAGGAAGACCTGAAAAAGAAAGAAAAATCATTATTGGTCACCATGATTATTCTTGGCTGCAGAGGATGAAAGAAAAAGGCCTAGTGGCAGCCATGGCTAGGCTCCCTACATCAATCCTATATACTGTTCCTTCCATCTCTATGGAACCTGAATGAGCACTTGCTCTTTATTACACATTATCCCTCAGAACTGTATCCCAAGAGTGGAATGTGACTTGACATAAGAGAAGATGGCACTGCCAGGAAGGCATCTTCAAAGCTCAGACAGCTTCAAAAGGTTCCAGGTCAATCCCCAGACCCCAAAGTTGTTTGTTTTTTAACTTAAAAAAGCAAACCGTGCTGCTTATATACCGCCCCATAGCGCTTCAAGCACTCCACTGTTCCTTCCATCTCTATGGAAGCTGGACGAGCACTTGCTCTTTATTACACATTATTCCTCACAACTGTACCCCAAGAGTGGAAGGTGACTTGGCATAAAAGAAGATGGCACTGCCAGAAAGGCGTCCTCAAAGCTCAGACAGCTTCAAAAGGTCCCAGGAAAACCCCCGGACCCCAAAATTGTTTGTTTGTTTTTTAACTTTAAAAGTCCTCTTGTGTTCTCTAACAGGCACAGAGCCAGTTTTGCCACGTTTTCAGACAACACACCTGTTTTAAATCCAGGGGGGATGCTTTTTAAAAAACTAGTATTTATTGGGGCTTTTTTTCAAACCAGTATTGACTGTTGAGATCCAAGGGTCGACATGGGTACCTCCCAGACCTCTGGTTTGTTGCCCATTCGTGTCATAGATAGAAATAAATTGCATCCAGAGAAACCAGTAATGACTGTTGAGATCCAAAGGTGGACATGGATACCTGCCAGATCTCTGGTTTGTTACCCATTCCTGTCATAGATAGAAATAAATTGCATCCAGACAGGTATGAGCTGATAAGCTGAGGAAAAACAAAATGGCGCCTGCCAGTACCCGCTGCTTTTCTAGATTCCACATCTCTTCCACCAGCTCCTCGTCGAACAGTAAAATGCAGGCAACTGACTGTTGTGCACTTATTAGTAAGGCTCTTGCAGATCAATGACGAGTGCTAGGATGGCATTTTTCTTTTCGGAATAGCCTGTAATAACCCAGTCCCACCAACCAGTGCTAATTACATGACTTATGGGATAACAGTGAATTTATTGATGTTTATCTATGGGGCAGATCATATATTTCATTTGAAATTTGCAGTCTTCCTTAATGAAAGTGTGAAAGCATGAGGTAAGATAACTAAACCGCCCTATTCTATGCATGGCTTCTTTCCCCCCCTCTGCTTGTATAACAAGGAATCTACAAATGCACTGCACAAATGGAAAGCTGTGTTCTTTCAGTGGCATGGTCTCCATCTTGCATAACTGTAAGCCAGAGCTGGCTGGAGGGGAAACAGATCACTGTGACTACAGCACTATTACTCTGCATTTACTAGCATGATTCTGTTCTTGGTGCTCTCTACAGCACCAAGAAGTTTCTTAATACTGTAGCTCTTGTGAGCAGAAGTAACATAGACTTGTCTAATGTAGTATTTGGATATTTTTCCTCAGTAGCTTCTCTTGCAAAATGTAAGGAACTTAAGATTTTTTTTAGTGCAGAATTTGAGCTATACTAGAAATGTTGGGACAGAAAATATGTTTTCTTGTATTTTCTCATCCTAATTACATTTGCATCTCCTTCGTATCATGAACTTTACACAAAATCCAATCCAATATCAGTATCATCTGTGCCTTTTATACGATGAGCACAAAAGAAACAGCGAAAAGGCCCATACCGCTGTACCTTTCAGCTAGAAAACATTTCACTTGCTTAATTTCTGCTGGTGTCGGAGATCAGCCAGAAGAAAAGGAGGCATTGCTCTCTCACAGTAATGTATCCACTGCCAGCATTTAGAGAAGTTACTTTTTTGGGCTACATCTCCCAGAAACCCCCATCATCATGGCCAGTTAGAATGTCTCAGTTGTCAGTGCTTACCATAATCCATCCTATTTGAGGCCCTAAATCTTTAAAGTAGAGTGTAGCCGTTGTACTAACAGGCAGCAGCTGAAGAACTTCTTCATCCCTCAGTGGCTTTCCTTCTAGGAAGGAGAGAAGGAATGTTAACTCCGGAAGAGAGGAACTGAAACATGTGGCTGCTTGTTGTTTTCTACAGACCCACCCACTCTAGATTTGACACTTTTGCATGTAGAGCAATGAGCCTTAGGTGGCATCAAAGTTCCTATTTTGCCCAGATGCTGTGCTAATTTGGAGGAAGGGAATGGGTGGCAATCAATACATCTGAAGCCATATTGTACCAAGCCAAACTATTTGACCCATCTTGTCCTATACCATCTACTTTTCTCAAAGACGCAGCAGGTCTCTGTTTCTTCATGCAGATATATTTCTGAGTTGAAAAGAAATGTGAGTTCACTTTACAAACCTTCTATGTGCAAAGCATATGGTCTATAATTTAATTCAGCTCATTGTGGTAAAGTGTTAGCGTGCTGGGCTATGGACTCAGGATTGGAACTCAGCCATGAAACTCATAGGTGACCTTGGGCCAGTCACAGTTTCTCAGCGAGAACTAGCTTATGAGAGTGGTTAACAGCCACGTACACTGCCTTGCATTCACTGGAGGAACAGTGGGAGAGAAATGCAACTGATAAATACAAATTCACTTTCTTTGCATTATGATAACACAGACAGAAAAGCTTTGCAGTAACTTTCCATAACCTATTAGTGACTCAGAAACGCTCCTGGAATTTGTTGTTCACAGCTCAGTGTCATGCACCATGAGGAAGAGAATGAATGCCAATTTTTGCAATTTAATTTTTTTAATGCACTCTATTAGCAACTATAATTTCATGAGGCTGTTTGCTTCTGTATATGGGCCATCCATATTTTAGTAGGCATCCTTCAGTCTCGAGAGACTATGGTAACATGCTCTGAATGGAGGTCTTCGAACAGTGTCTAGTGTGGCAGAGAAGGTCAATGTGAGAGTGACAATCCCTTCCACACTGAAGACAAATACAATCTGTCCCCTGTCCAGCTCCCTGGTTTTGCTGCTTTCATGACTGCCTCTTTGCCACAGCCTGCTGAACAAGTGTCTCTTCAAATTGGAAGAAGCCATGCTGCACCGCCTGCCTCCAGGCTGAACGCTCAGATGTCAAAGTTTCCCATCTGTTGAGGTCTGTTCCTAAGGCCTTCAGATCCTGCTTGTGTATGGGCGCTACTTGACTAAACCGAGGCTGTCATACTTTTCCAGACTCAATGGAAAAGGCAAGAAGGTAGAAAAAGTGGAAGGTGATAGAAAGAGAGGAAGACGTAACATTAAATGGATTAAATCAGCAAACTTAATTTTACTCCCTGCTATCAAGTTTTCCTGGCCTATATGTGTTCTCAGAGGCAAGAGGTTCCTCCGGATGTGAAAACTTACATATCTGAAGGATTTCTCCAAGAAGGGGGGAAAAGACTAGGATACAGTTCCAGACCTTGAAAGAAGCTGGGAATGGGAAGTGTTTATCACAATGGCAACAGCATAAGTGCCTGTTAGTCTGTAATTATAAGTACATGAAAACATAAAAATTACCTCATGATTCAGGAGCTCATTTCTAGCACTGTGACTCCAAAGCTGCGAATAAAACTCAGGCTCAACCCTCACCTTTAAGGTGACATGTTTGTCCAAACTATTGCTGGAGTTTAAATCTATGGCCTAGAAGCTCATGGTACTTGCATGGCTACACCACTCAGTTCTCTAGAATTTAGGCAAGTTAACGAAGGCTTCTGCCCATGATGATGGTTGCAGGACTGTTCAGTATCATTTTCTACCTACAGCTGATTTGATCTGCGCAAGTTAATGTGCATTATATTCAAAATATAATGATTATGTGAAGTATATTCAAAATATAACTTCCCTCCCCCCCCCAATCTTTGCAGGGGAAAGAAAACTCAGCAGGCCCACTGAGTGAGCTTTGCCCAAACGCTAATCCCACCTATCACTGCAGGATTATAGGCCTCTCTTGACTAGGGTTGCCAGATACATGGGTACCAAAAGGAGGACATAGAAAGATAAAAAAAAAGAGGACAGAGGAGGACATATTGAATGTTTCATTTAACAAACAGGAAAGGGGCCTACCAAGAAACAGCAGCTTCCGAATGGGAGCAAATGGACCTCTCCCCTTCCCATCCAAAATTATAACATAAAATATACAAAAGCCGGACATTTTAAAGGTTTTTATCTTTGCCTGCCGGATGGAGGACATTAGGCTTTTTGCCGGGCATCTGGCAACCCTACTCTTGACTGGCAAGAGTATTTCATGTTCCTTGAGTTTGAAGGTAATGTTTCTGCAACTATTTATAAATGTGAACAGGACTTTAATGATGTGTCAATATATTATTAGTGTTTTGTATTTTTTTGTAAAGCTTTGAGGTAGGTAACACAGCATTTAAACAATGTACTGTCACCAACATGAACTTACTGGGATCAAGCCTTATAGACTGCCTTGCTGGATACCACTGAGGATCTGTAAGGATTAAAAAAAATCCACAACAATTTAAAAGAAAACTCCTCTCCTAATAGTATAATGCTCAGATCTCCTAATTTAACCTCTACGGACTCTTGATTCATGCTAATCAATCTTTCTGTCACTCATTCGATTTTACTACTTTCCCATAGTTTGGAATGCAAAGAAGCAAACACTAGCAGCTAGCAGGAGCTTCCCTGTTACATGAACTGAGAGCATTTTGTCCTGGCTTAGTTCTTCTGCAATTAAGATTAACGACTGGAGCTTGAACCTGCACAAAGTCTAGGCCACTCAGGAGTTCTACCATACTCGCTGCAATCACATATAATGTAAATATAGCTTCCCCAGCACTAACCTACATTCTGGCTTGATCTTTGGAAATGCACATACTTACATATTTTATGGAACATCAGTCTGATATCACTTATTGTAGCATGAGGCTCAACCTGGGCATCAAAAAATATTTTTGTGATTAAGACCACAGACATTTTTAAAAAAAAAAACTTTTAAGTTCATCCATACTTTTTTAATGCTAGGAAACAGAGGAAATAATTATTTGGTTACCTAATCTGCCGTATGGGGATAATGATACTGGATTACTCTATGAGAATGTTGTAAGCAGGAGCAGCTTGGGACCCAACATGTGGGTGCCGCTCAACTCCAGTCATAAGCTGCCTATGGTTTTAATGAGCATTGGGAAAATGTAAAACCCACTGAGAATTCAAAAAAATGCTACATAAATGTGGCAATAAAGGTATAATTATTTACCTTTTCCAAAAAACATAGCTGTTGTTTTGTCTTCCAGTCAAGGATTTCCACCTAAGACAAGACAGCAAAAGGATAAATCTTTCAGTCTGATTTCATGTGGCCTGGTATTCAAGGCTCATCCCACAAAAACCAGAATGGAGTCAACACAACCTTCAACTGCAGATTTGATTGTAATGAATGGACAGGGTTTTTTTTTTAAAAGTCTACTCCCTTTACACTGCTCCATAATGCTTAAAGCATTCTGGGTGGTTTACAATTAAACTAAGCAACCTACACTTTTTTAACATATATACTTTGTTATTATTGTATTTTTATTGCCAGGGATGGGCAGAAGTGCTTGTGGCATTTAAATCCTTATGTGTCAAAATAACCTGTCTGGTTTTGGGAACTATGCACCTTGACAAACGATGGTGGTGGGCACAATTTACTCCTCTACCTAAAGCAAGGAGATGTACTTTGCCACATACTCAATAGTCTTCAGGCCTGTATAAAGCTGATGTATTTTTCCTTTCATAGAAACCAGGAAACTACAGGAAAAAAAATGGGGAAAGCCTATGAGGTCCTCAAAATAACACAAATAAAAAAATAGGCAATATTTTTATTCATCATCATCATCATGTGATGTCAAGTCAATTATCAGAGTTTTCTAGGTATAGAATGATTTGATTGATTAGGCATCCTTCAGTCTCGAGAGACTATGGTAACGTGCTCTGTATGGAGGACTTGGAACAGCGTCTAGTGTGGCTGAAAAGGCCAATTCGAGAGTGACAATCCCCTCCACATTGAAGACAAATACTATCTGTCCCCTGTCCAGCTCCCTGATTTTGCTGGTTTTGGGACTGCCTCTTTGCCTCGGCCTGCTGGACCAAGGGTCTCTTCAAAATGGGAGATGCCATGATGTACCGCCTGCCTCCCATATGTTGAGGTCCATTCCTAAGGCCTTCAGATCTCCTTGTATTGCAGCTGTGGTCTCCCTCTGGGGCTATTTCCCTGCACTAATTCTCCATATAGGAGATCTTTTGAAATCCAACCATCAGCCATTCTCATGACATGCCCAAGCCAACGTAGACATCACTGTTTCAGTAATGTATACATGCTAAAAATTCCAGCTCGTTCTAGGGCCACTCTATTTGGAACTTTGTCCTGCCAGGTGATACCAAAAATGCGTCGGAGGCAACGCATATGGAAGGTGTTCAGCTTCCTTTCCTGCCGTGCACAAAGGGTCCAGGACTC